AAAACTTAGCGATGTATTCTGACCCAAGTGACCGTGTCCTGTTCCATCATTCATCTCGAGTGTCACTGGTTTCTCTGGCGTTGCAATCTTGTTCTGTCCCTCAAAGACTTCTTCGTCAGATTGTTTTGCTGGGCTGTCAAGCCACTGGAAGTGATTACACGCTCCTTGACCCTGAGAAAGACAAATCCAGATTGTTTCTCAGCTTCATAAAATGAAGCAAACACAGAAAATAGATATGGATAGAAATCCATGAAAAGCAAAATGTAACCAAGGTATCAGGCATTCATATGTGATTCTGTATGTATGATGACTTCACCAAATAGAACTGCATATTGCCATCCCAAATAATTGTGAAACCATTTTTTGACACCCTGCAAAGAAGTCTATAGGTTGGAAATATAACTAAACACTATATATACCATCTCTGTCATTCAGACTTGAGATTCCTAAAGTTGTTTCTTGCAAAGATAAGTAATTTCAAATTTTTCACCAGTATCAAATCCATGCATGTCCTGATTGGACAAATTGAATTTATAAGTTGGAAGAATAGATAAAGATACCTACAAAATGTAGGTCGAAAACAAAGAAAATAAGTTTGATACCCTTAGTCTAACTAGTGATGTGGCCCCCTTAATAGCGGTAGAAACTTTAAGGCCGACCTGAAATCGTTAGGATACCACAGGTTGTTGTTTTTTGTTTAGCTGTATTTAAGCAGTAGGCTCCATGCATATCAAAATCAGATGCATAAAAGATAATGCAAAGGTCCACACCTGACGACTTGAAGGATCCCAATCTGAGATCAAATCCTCCACTAAGAAAAAAATGGAATATAAACTACTGAAAATATTTGTCTGCACTGAGATCATGAATCATGTCCTTAGCTGGTAGTAGTTCATCATATTAATGCTACAAGTAGGGAAAAAATAAAAAAACAGAGAACAAAATCACATGTTCCCTCACACAATTAGAAGCACTAAAACAAGGAATACATTTGTCTTATCTCAACCAGCACCATATGGGACATATCATCCAAAAGGATATGAGCTGCCTTGTGCCATGAAATGGAAATCATTAGTATATGTCATATTTCAAATCCACTCTGAAACATATGAAAAACATAATTTGAAGCGAGGAGTTCAATTATTGGTGTTAATTGCAGGGCAAGTCCCAAGTCCCCAGATCTAGCATTGCATTTCAAGCACAAACTCGTTGTTTCTGTTTCAGGCCTAGAAAAACAAAATACAGGCTTGACCACCAGGAAAGAATGATGTATCTTCATATTATTTCCAACTCTGATCAAACAAAACATACAGATGGAAAATGACAAAGAAACAAAACAAGGATCCGAATAGAAGCTCAGTTATAAAAAGAGAATTTGGAGTATACGATCATAAAAGAAATTTGATGAATAACATTTGCAACTTATTATGATAAGAAGCATCAACTAGAGACCGAAAGGAGGCAAACAAAATTTTTTTGTTCTCATCATGGCAACACCATTATGCCATTAAGATTAGCAGACACTACATCATAAGATAGGAAGATGATCAACGATACCATAATAACCAGCATCCATTAACTAAACTAAATATTAAATAAAACCAGAATTGATAAGAAAAAGTGGTTCAATCAACAAACAACTTAATTGCTTGGAAATGCAGAAAGATCTTATGTTGCATCTTGTTCATCTTAAACCGACAAAAACCAATCTCTTATGAAAAAGTTGATGATGAACTAATGCAAACCAGAATTACCTTCTTTATCGTGCAGGCAAAATATTTACGACCCGCATTAACCCCATTTTCCATCGTCAAGAGTCTGCATTTCCCAGCGCCACAAGCACACATGGGATATGAAGATTCTGCTACACCATTTTGCTGATACGGCTTGTTTGGGCTTTTGACACCACATTGCTGCTTGACCGGGCTGCTCAGACCATGCTGCCGATTCGGTTTCACCAAACTACCAAATCCACGCTGCTGATTGCAGTCAGCCTCGTCACACCACAAGAAGAAACCACACTTCTCTTCAAACTGAAAGAGTTGCACAGAGGATGGGGAATTGTGAATTAAATTTCACTCAACCTAGAGCCTGTTAATTTAAGAATGCGCTGCAGTTCTTTGGTAAGGTAAAAGATAAAAAGAATAAGAAAAGCATTACAAGACTATGGATTCCAACAAGAAACCAAAGAGTAATCGAATCAAACAAAATTGTTGATTTTCTCTACCGCAATTAAGGAAGTCAACATGGTCTTGTCCCTTGCACCCATAATTAATCAAGTGCAAATTATTGGTGAAGAATCTTATTCTTTCTCAATTAAGCACTTCCAATCATTTTTGGATATGAACAAGTGTAGAAATTCAAAGAGAAAAGAACTGTCAACGAGGTGGAATATTTCTTCTCAGTTAATGCAAAACCTCGGCATTTTAAAATCCACTAAAAGCCATAGCTCAACGAGGAAAAGTTATATTTAGGTAAAAGTGAAAATTAACATTTTTTTGCAGCGAATTTTGATGCAAATTTCAAGAAATCAGTTCTACAAAAAAGGCATATCTTGTTGAACAAAACACTCGGAAGGTGCAGTAAAAAGGAACTAATTTTAACATCCAATGCAAACTTAAAGAAAGCAAACCAGATGCAGTTCAGCAAGCAAAGGATTCGAACCAAACTCAGGCAAGTGAGGTTGAAGAACAAAGACAAAAAGCTGGTCCGAAACACATCTTCGAGTATACCTCAAAATACAAGTGAAAGAAAAAGACCCCTTTTTTTTAGTGAACAGCGTCCAATAAAAACAAGAGAACTCGCTTCCAGCAAAAGAAGTATGTGATGCAGAGTTTCCAAAATCAAACCGAAACACCCATTTCGAACACGATAATTGCACTGACATAGTGGGAAAAAGCAAACAAGATAAAAAAACCTCCCACTTACAATCATTCATTCCCTCTAAAAAGAGAAAGAAAATGAAAGAGAAGGAAGCAACAATCGACCACACCATAGAGGGGCAGCTGTAGAAATGCCTCCCGGGGTTCTTGGCGGTCCTGGACATGAGCACGACGCACGGCCCCCTCCCACAAGGGCACTGCCGCTCGGGGTACACCCGACGCTCCGCCTCGCCGAGGGCAGCGGGGCTCCCCCTCTTACTGGGGCAGTCCCGAGCGAAGTGACCGTCTTGATTGCAAGCGAAGCATTTGTAGCTCCTGGGGCGTTCTTTGACCGGGGTATTCCCGGACGTCACTTCCTCTCCTCCTCCTCCTCCTGCCTCTTCGGGGAACAGCCGCTTCCTCGGTTCCTGAATCCGACCACAGGCGGATCCCACGCTCTCCGACGCCATCTCTTCCTCGATTCCCTCTTGCCTAAAACAAATAATGCATCACATAACACACGCATCTCTTCTTCCTCCCCTTATGAAGTGGCAATGAAAACAAGTGGTAGCTGACATCGAAAGGCACACATTGAGAAAGCGAATGTCTTCTTTCTACTTTTCCCTTCTGTTTCTATTATTGTTCCAGCGAAAGATATTACCTTTTTTTAAAGGGTCAAAATATATATTTTTCTTTTTTTATTCCTTTTTTTTATTTATATGCTAGTAAAATAAAATAAAAGGACAAATTTTCTCATAAAAGATTTATTTATTTATATTTTCTTATTTATACTTGTTATTCAAGAGGTTATAATAGAGCACACTCGATACATGTTGAAAGTTTTCGATATATCATCCATTACCTTAAGTACCTCATGATAATTGCATACGTAGAATTGATAAGTTGATTGCGATGATAATAAGAAGCTCCTTGATGAAAAGAAAGAAGAGAGATAAAGGTAACAGACAATTACAATGGACGATGATAATCGTAACAAGGGAGAGAAAGTGGAAAGGGAAGGCCAGATGACAATACGATGAGATGATTATGATGGGTGAAAGGTGATGATCGTTGAGATGAAGGTTTGGGTAATTTTTTTAGAAAATAAAAAGCATTTAATGAGAATAAATATAAAAAAAAACTATATTAATAAAAAAAAATTCAAATTTTATTCTTTTAAATATTTGAAAATATTTTTTTTTCCTTTCAAGGATAAATAATCAAAACATAATTTTGATTTCAAGACCTTATGATATAAGTAAACTCTTTGTCAATCAAGCATCACAAGAGATTCTAAACCATTAATATATATATATATATATATATATATATATATATATATATATATATATATATATCGCTAAATAAATATCCAATATTGAAGGTGCTAGCTTGTTTATCTAGTAAGCTCAAATCAAACTTTCACCATTTATACTTTATCAAAAAAATTAAATAAATTACTTTGCTAAATAAAAAACTTTTTAATATTAAATAAAATCAGAAAAATTACTTCATACCAAATGATAATTTTTAGATGTGGATGAAAAATACATAATTAGATAATTTTTTTAAAAAAAGAGTATGATGATAAGAGAGAAGGGGGAGAATGGACTGACTGTTAATATTTGATAACTGTAATTTTATTATTATACCTTCGAGGATGAAAGGTAGGAACGAAATAATAGTGTAGACTATAGAATCATGAAATTATTGTATAACAGATTTTTATATGGTAAATACTCGTCACAATGGTCATTCCAAGTCAACCCATTTGAACACTAATTAATATGTTTCATGTTTTATGGAGTTCTTCGCACAAATGCCAAACGATAAAAGATAGGCACAACTTTGCCGTCAACCGCATCCGACTCCCTGCACGAATCAAAAAGCTATCGGGTCCATATCACGACATCGGCGGATGACGTGCGTCACTAAGTTGGACGACCACATCCAGCCAATCGCCTAATATGATTGCACGTGGTATTTTTTTTGTAAAAATAAAAAAAAATATTTAGAATGATTCAATCAAATTGAATCAGTTCATCGAATTGTATCGATTCATTTAAAATACCTCTCTCTCTCTCTCTCTCTCTCTCTCTCTCTCTCTCTCTATATATATATATATATATATATGCGCTTCATTTTGATGTCATATTTGAGGGTCTGCTATGCAACCCGATTTAGGGTTTCCGATTGCTCGTCGGCCTTGCGGCTCCGCGGCTGCCGTATGAGTTCTTTTGCCTCCGCGTCCGCGGCCTCGCCCTCGAATTCGGCTACATCTCTTCGTCGATCCAAGAGTGATTCTCGGGGCATCAACCTCACCTATACTGAGACTTCTCGGTAAAGGCCCTAAACAAACACTTATTTGCTTATTATTCAGGTCATTTCGTCACTGGTTAAAGCCTGTCGATACCTGAAATTGATTGGTTGTATTGTCAATCATCAAAGGTCTCAATCAATCCCTGTTAACGGAGATGGCAGGCCAAAACTTTATGGCCCGTTTGAGCTTAATTACGTAAGCCCAAGGGAGAGAAAGGAGAAATGATTAGAAAATGCAAGGGTCGTATAGGATTTATGCAATCATCCCAAGGTAGTGACCATGACAACCACAAAACCCCTTTGTGGGTTATAGGGAAAGTAAAAGAAGAGGCGCTGATACGGATGTGTGAAAGCCATGATTGAGGTGATACGCCCTAGCTAGGTTGATGAGTGGGTTAGGAGGCTGGATCAACATCACAAGTCATTTGTCACTTCCTTCATGAGAAATTTGTTATTTATTTAACCATCGACACAAGTTCAGAATGATGGATTTATTAAGGGGAAGGAGAAAACAATCCGTGAGACGCTGAGAATCTGTGACACGGTTTTATAAGGAAAACTCTAAATCTGCAGCTGAATGTTCTGTATAGCCCAACCTCAGTTACTCTGCATTACATCACTAGCCTCATTACATAAGGTTCTCTCATTTGCAACTTTATACTTTTGCCAAAGGAAGTTATTTATGAATTTATTCTTGTTGCTTTTCTTCTCTCTTTTCTTTTTCGTACTGCTTTATGATCACTGAGTCTTCTTTTTTCGGTTTTGTTTCTTTTATGGTGTTTCCTGCAAGATGTCCTATTTGATTGGTCCATCTAGAAATCTATGCTGACATCATGGTTCTCCCGATCACTTTCGACCCACTTCCATCAGTTCCTAAAGCACGTCTGGTGATTTAACCTGTTGAATTTTTAATTTAAATGTATGAATAGCTAAGCTGGTAAAACTTCCTTGCATTGTTTTGCATTCAGAATACTTTGTTTCTCATCTATGAACCCAGGCCCTACCTGTTGAAATTGGCTGATGTATTGTACTGGGTAGCTGTTTACTCCAAGCCCATCTGATTCTTTTAATGATAATTACCTTTTCAAGAGTTTAGTTCATGTTATACTGGATAACTTTGTGTTTTTTGGATTTTTGTATTTGTCTTCACTGGTTCCTGGAGTATTAGGGTTATACTGAGAAGAACCTAAAAATAGCAAATGTATATGGTTCTGCATTTTTCTTCCTTTCTAAGCCTCTTCATGTCAGTTTCTTATCCTAGAGTTCTGATTGCGACAATGCAAGAGTTTAATTTGATTCACTAAAATGTTGTCACACGACTGATATGTAGAAGACAACTGTGTTTTGGTTTAGGACAGTAGACAGTAGACAGAGTCTGTGGTGATAGCAACATGGTCTTTTGGTAACTAGAGCCACTTGCTCTGCTCGTTCGATAATAGATTCTTTTGCTGTTCAGTGGTACATTCCTACATTGCTTGTTCACAATCAGTAATGAGGATGGTAATTGCAATTTTTCGGATGTAGGTATATGGTGAGTAAAAGTCCCCATTACTGTGAGTCTGCTGCGATTTCAGAAAGCCTGAAAACAGTGCATCAGGAAGGACCCTTCTCAAATTTTGGTTGATATTTTGAACAGGAAATACAAGCCCCTAGTCCAAGTTTCAATGTAACTAGAAAGAATTTCTTTCTGTTTAAGAGCTTTGTTGTTGTCACTGTCAGATATGTTTTTAGAAAGGGCAACAAGGCTACTAAATATGTTGTCTCTGCAAACTTTACCAGGCTCCACTTCCATTAGCAAGATTCATGGCTATTGGAGATTAGTCTTGTGTTAAACTCCAATTTTTTGGGTGTTACTTGTACTCTTTTCCGTGAGTAATACATAACTCTCTTCTGCAAAGAGAGTTGTTGGATCAAATGTGAGATTTTACAAAGTTGTCATATTAAGCAATGCTTTTTAAGCAGTCAACCATTGTTTCCTACAATGAGATTGTTGTCATGTTCAGGCTACTGGGCTGCCGGAATAAGGTAAGATCATGTCAAAATCTGCCGCTCGGCCTTAGTTTCTGATAGATTTGTTTGTGTCTTTTAGATTGACACAGGATGATACAGTTTGAGGATGCTCTCAGTCAACCTCATATGATGGAACATTGGAAGATGAGAACCCCCATTTGGTTGCCGTCTGTTGTAGTTACTTTGGATGACACTACTATTCTCCATTAATGACTTGAACCAAGCTTTTCTTTAACTGATGTCAGGAACGTTAAAGTATCATTCTTCGCTTCATGTATGCAGTGTGAAGTGTTGTTTTATATAGTATTTATCTTATCTGAAGTGAGAATGAAGCAGTTAACGATTGTCAGCCAAAATATGCATTTGCAGAAACCATGCTTGGATTGTGATCTCTGGTGGGAAAAGGTACTGAAAGTTGGCTTCTAATTTCCATTAGAATTATCTGCAAAATTACAGCACACCGATGAGCTTCTAATTTATTTTCTGTTTGACTGGTTACAGCCGTAAACCAACAGGAAATCTCAATGGGAATTGGGTACACTCTGTGGAGCTGGATGTGAGAACCAGGTACCAAATTTATGACCCATCTGTTATCTTCCTCTATAAGCGAGACGATCTGTTTGTATGAGTTCTTGTACAAGGCATTTTACTTAAAAAAGTAAAATGCCTGACCTTACAATGGTGATTTAGTTTCCATGAAAAGGACAAAGGGTCGGGTAGGGTAGGGTAGGGTTTGGATTGGATTAACGAGGTAGGGATGATTGGGAAAAGGACTACGGTCATGTGTCCTACAGACGTCCAGTAATGTTGCACATGCCCACTTAATTGATTCTGATGATAGTTAAACACTAGACAACTCTTAATTGCTTCTTCAATTCAATTAGCTAGCATTAAACTCTGTTCTGGTGGATGCTTTCTCTCAGCTGCTTCGCTTCCTCAATTCTTCTTCCACTTCACAATCTGATCTCTTTTCCTCAGGTTTGATATCTACTCTGAGACCTCTTTAATCCGGTAAGCAGCTCTGCTATTCCAATTTGATGAGGACGAGGTCCTACTAACTTTGGACACACAAGTGCAGAATAAACTACTAACAGGAGCTGCACAAGAACTCAGAGCTGATCATACTATGTATATTTCATGGGATCCAACTTCCAGCACTCTAAAGTCATCGTCTATATCTCATCACAACAAAGAGACATTTAACATGGAGAAGCAGTGATGGGTCGGCTACAGGGAGCAGAACTGCTGCTTTGCCTGCTGATGATGGATGGGTTTGAGATGGTGCAGGCGCCATGTGCGTGTCCTGAAGATCCAGCTGCACGTAAGCCCTCTTCTGCTCATGTGCTCCTCCTTGGAGAAAGATTTGGATTATAGCTGCAAACTACTTTTTATCAATTGCACCATGTGATCCTCCTTTTGCTAGGGCAGAAGCGTTTGGATACCCTCTCACTCTTCCAAGCACAAGATTCAGTTGCCCACCACCCCCTCGTTCATGTGGGCATGTCTCCCCTCCCCCTCCCATGCACTGAGATCAGCACCACAAGTTGATGTTTTCTTTAGCTCCCGAAGGACCACTGGCTTCTTGGATCTGGTGACCTCGACGACGCTCCTCGAATGCATGTGATGCAGGCGTGCAACGTTGAGGGCCAATCGATCTCTTCGTCGAAGCAGCCGGTGCAAGTGTTGTGTTGTTGGAGAAGAAAGACTGGAGGCCTCGACGTCTGCTAATGGAGCTACTAAAGAGACTGATGGCCCTGGAGATAGATTATTACATCATCATCATCACCGTGAAGCTAATTAAGAAGACTGTTGGCGATGCACCCCTTAAGGAGGCACCGCCGGTGTTGATCTCCCAGATGCCTCGTGGTCCTCGGGGACAAAATGTCACCGGTTCTTCTTCATCATTGCCTATTGATTACCGCTGTGGTCCAACCATCCACCAGTTCTTCATCATTTCCACCTTCACGAGGTTCTCGTAACTATCTACCTGCATCTTTACTTTGCTACAGCTTTAAGTACTCGGCTAACCACCCATTGCCGATCCGTGCAGGCACTTCCCGTACGAAGGAACTGAGGAATGGTTAGCCGAGTACTTAAAGCTGTAGCAAAGCAAAGATGCAGGTAGATAGTTCCGAGAACCTCGTGAAGGTGGGAATGGCTCTCCCCTTTTGAGTGTCCAAACTTTACTTGGGTGCTGTAACAGGAACATCCCTGAACTCCCTCCATCCGACTTGACCATGAAGAAGAACTAAGAGAAGATCGACACATGAGATGCCAGGTAAAAAAAAAAACCTTGGTAGAAACTCCCTCCTGCATGCGGTATTCTGTCATGTCAGCGCTCGCACACATTTGGCACCAGTGGGTGGGTACTGGGGAGGAGGAGCACATGCGGTTGAAATCTAAGAGCTTTCTTAAATCCATGGATAAGCATGGGGAGGTGGGGTCTTGGCAGCTTCCTTTGGGGTTGGCATTGGGGTGCGACTCTCTCCCTTGTTTTCCTGCTCTTCTCCTGCCCTTTTCAAGGATACTCTGTCCCCCTAAAAGACAAGTACCCCCACATTTTTATATGACCCAAACTTGGTGCAAGAAATCCAGCAGATCCCGGTTTTGTTGATTCATCACAAACCAAACCAAACCATTTGGGTTCCATTCTCCTTTCTTTACTCCTCTGAACCCCCTTCTCCCTTTTCTTTAACCGCTAGTAGTAGGCTTCGCTTAGACTGCGTTGTCAGTCTCCTCCTCCTCTCACCATGGCCATTGAGACTTGCTGCCCTAAGATGACACACACACACACATGCTCACCGTGTTCCTCAAAAACCCTGAATGACTCTCATTTCAATCATGATGATGCAGCTGCTTTGCCGAAACACTGATCCAAATGATCTTAATCCACATGATTGTCTGAGAATATCCCACCCATGACTTGTCGTCATGTCAGTGAAAGCAAAAGCTACTTTGACATGATTCCAGCTCCACCGAGTGTAAATTATTCCTTAACCTGAGATTTGGCTCTACATTCTACTGTCATGTTGATAGAGACCGGTAGAAGTGATCCTTTGACTTGCGATCCTAATTAAGCTAAGCAACATCTGTTTGGATGTATTATCCTGTACCTGCAAATCTCAGTTTAGCAAGTCAAATGATGGATGCTATCCGAATGATTCTGACTTGCACAGAGATGTTTGTTTAAGATATGGTAAAACAGTAACAAGTTGGGAGTGGGAAGTGCATGTTTGAACCACCCAATTCCCATATGATCCTTAGTACATTCCTCATTTTAATAAGCTTCCAAGCCCAGCCATCATAATAGCTGCAGACAGCCTGTTCGACTTCATCCGGTACTTGTTTCAAGCTAAGAAGAAGCAAGCTCAGTGAGGTCATGGAGGTGGGCGAATGGAAAGGCAGCTCAGCTCAGATCACTCTTGTACTGTTGTGGCCACAGGTGAGAAAATGTTTTCGTCCCTTAGGCTGTTGTGTGGCAATGTCACACAACCCCAATGAGGTTTGACCCATAATAGCTGCATCTAATCGCAGGGTACCAGACATGAGCACATGTGTAGGACATTCACAACCTCTTCTTCCCCCTACATATAATGCTCTTTCCAATAAATCTGTTCCAAATGCACCACTTCCCAAAATTCCAACCCACATATCACTTCTTTATTGCCATCCCCTGACCCTCTCTTTCAGAAGCTACCAAGAAGCAGAAACCCAATTCCGCAAGGGAGGGAGGGAGAAAGAGAGAGAGAGAGAGAGAGAGAGAGAGAGACGCAGCTGCTGCTTTATATATGATCCGAGACCTCCTCAGCTGCATTCGGCGCCATGGCCAGCCGATGAGCATAGCTCCTCCTCCTTGGTGTTGTGCCCCTCGTCTCGCGTAGAACCACCTGCTTCTCCTCCACGGCCGGATCGATGGTGATGCCCAGCTGCGATCCCAACGACCTCGAGGGCAGCACGCGACTCATCGAGGACCTCACCGCCAATGCCCGTCAGGTCCAGCAGCAGGTTCTGAATGAGATCTTGACGAGGAACGAGGGGACGGAGTACCTACATGGTTTCCTCCGTGGCCACAAGGGCCGTGATCTCTTCAAGAAGAAGGTGCCGGTGGTGGAGTACGATCAGGTCAAGCCTTACATCGACCGTCTTGCCAATGGGGAGCCGTCTCAGATCATCTCCGCCCAGCCCATCTCGGAGCTGCTCACCAGGTGAGTAACTCTCGTCGCCATCGTAACTCCGTCGTCTCCATGACCAACCTCGCTGTTGATTGACTGCGATACCAATGTGATGTTCTTCTGTGACAAGCTCTGGGACTTCTGGCGGGCAGCCCAAGATGATGCCTTCCACGGACGAAGAACTGGATAGGAAGACCTTCCTCTACAATCTCCTCATCCCTGTGATGAATCAGTGAGCTTCTTCTTCCCTTGTTTGGGCTAATGTAACAGTGGAGTCAGTCATTAAGCATCCCGGAGCTCACGCCTGCCGCTACCTTTCTGAACTCGCTCAGGTACGTCGACGGGCTGGACCAAGGGAAGGGCATGTACCTCCTGTTCATCAAGCCGGAGATCAGCACGCCGGCCGGCCTCACCGCCAGGCCCGTGCTCACCAGCTACTACAAGAGCCGCCACTTCCGGAGCAGGCCCTTTAACAGGTTCAATGTCTACACCAGCCCGGACGAGGCCATTCTCTGCCCCGACAGCAAGCAGAGCATGTTCTGTCAGCTCCTCTGCGGCCTCGCCCAGCGCGACGAGGTTCTCCGAGTAGGCGCCGTCTTCGCCTCTGCCTTCCTCCGCGCGATCAAGTTCCTCGAGGACCACTGGCCGGAGCTCTGCTCCAACATCAGAACCGGGACCGTCAGCGACTGGATCACCGACGCAAGCTGCCGCGACGCCGTCGGCAGAATCCTCCGCGAGCCCAACGCGGAATTGGCCGACGTGATCGAGTGGGAGTGCAGGAGGGAGCCCTGGGAGGCGATAGTTAGGCGGCTATGGCCGAGAACCAAGTACGTCGACGTCATAGTCACCGGATCGATGGCACAGTACATTCCGCTGCTGGAATTCTACAGCGGCGGCCTGCCATTAGTCTCCACCATGTACGCCTCCTCGGAGTGCTACTTCGGCATCAATCTGCGCCCACTGGACCTGCCATCGGACGTCTCCTACACTCTCCTCCCCAACATGGCCTACTTCGAGTTCATCGAAGCCGACAAGACCGAGGGGGGGGAGACCGGCAGCGTGGAGTGCAACTACACCGGCGATCTCATCAAGGTGGTGGATCTTGTGGATGTCGAGGTCGGCCGCTACTACGAGCTCGTCGTCACCACATTCACAGGTGAAGTCTCCTCCTCGTTCTTCGAATCGTAGACAGCATTGGCTTTGGCCACATCTCATCCATACCTTTCTTCTCCCCCTTTTTCACACACATCATGGTGATTAGATCTTGCATGTCTAAATTAACATAGGCAATGGGAGTAAACAAACAGCTCACCCGTGTCGTGTCTTTGCCATCAGGCTGTGTTGACTTTTTTTTTTGTCTCCAAGTACTACTGCTGGTCTTCAAGCAGGGAGGGATCGGGCCAGTCCTCGATAACATGCACTGACAAGTGAGACCTCACACAGCTACAAATAAAATAAGCATGCACATGTAGAAGACAACTGTGCCACTGACTGCATCATCTGGATGAATCCCCAAATGCAGCAGTGGCTTTGTCGTGAACTTTTCGGGCTTAAGAGTCCGCTTCATGGACATGGAACGGATGGATGAGGCGTTTAATATCTGACTCAAACTTCATCCCATGTGCCTGACTCCATGTAGCAGTACATCTGAACTTGGGAGGTCACTGTGCATCCAGTCCTTTCCTCCCTCTTGTGGTCTATCTGAGATGGACACGCATCAGGAGAAGTTAACAGCAGTAGTAGTAGTAGTAGTAGTAGTACCTGAAGGGATTGTTCAGCTTACATATGACCTCAGCAACTTCTACTTGCCCGTGTGTGATAGGCTTGTACAGGTACCGAGTTGGCGACATCCTCAAGGTTACGGGGTTCCACAATGCTGCACCGCAGTTCCGCTTCGTCCACCGCCGCAACGTCGTCCTCAGCGTCGACACCGACAAGACCAACGAAGAGGACCTGCTGAAAGCCGTGACGCAGGCCAAGCTCCTGCTGGAGCCACTCGGCTGCCTCCTCACAGAGTACACCAGCTACGCCGACACCTCCTCCATCCCCGGCCACTACGTGCTCTTCTGGGAGCTGAAGACCAAAGCCAGCTCCGATCCTTCCGACGTCGACTCAGCCGTGATGGAGGACTGCTGCTCCACCATCGAGTCGTGTCTCGACTCCGTGTACCGGCGGTGCAGGAGCAGGGACCGGTCCATCGGGCCGCTGGAGATCCGGGTGGTGCGCTGCGGCGCCTTCGACGCGCTGATGGACTACTGCGTGTCGCTGGGCTCGTCGGTGAACCAGTACAAGACGCCCAGGTGCATCAAGTCGAGGGAGGCGATCCAGCTGTTGGAGGAGAAGGTGGTGGGGAAGTTCTTCAGCAGGAAACTCCCCTTCTGGAAGCCCTACACGATGATCGAAGCCAAGGCCGGTTGATCCAGCACTGATGCCACCATCCCCCTCCTTCGTTTACTGTCTCCATGTGTAATTCTTGTCCAAAGACCACTTTGCTTTAGTGACAGTACTGTACTTTTATTCCTACTATCCGATACACCGGACCGATGATTAATGAATTCAATGATCGATCGATGGGGTTCAGATGTGGCCCGTGTTGTCTTCACACGCGCACGAGCACAGAGGCCATGAGTGAGAGAGAGAGAGAGACAGAGGGAGGCAGCGGTGTCTCTTTGTGGTGTGACAGCCACGCCACCTGAGAGGAGAGCATTAATTGGGGAGAAATGGACTCGAGTGCTTGATGTCATTTGCACGTACGTGGCCCGATCCAAATCCATAAGAACTCGAGCCTCCCACTGGAAAAAGGATGCAATCGTCCACCAAATGATTGCTTAGGCTGCATGATTAGCCGGAACAGATGAGGAGACGGTCAGGTGCTCAACACACTCCAGCTAACGATTACATGGTCATGGATCTGCCGAGTTGCATGCCTGGGCACCTCAACGCTGCATCGCTTGATGTGATGATATATGTTGATCTGATGGATCATCATGTCATGCCCATCTCAGGTACTTTTGTCCCCGACCTAAACTTCTAACTCAGCATATGACGGCATAGCTTTATTGCACCCCCGTAATTCTATAATCATAGATCATACATAGATAACCCTCAAAATAACAAAGATCATCTGGCCTTCTCATCGAATTTACCACTAAGTCTTCATTTTTCCACTGGGCTGTTGAAACTTGGCAACTAAACCTGAAATCAATTACTTCGTCATAAATTAGCACTATTATGCTATTTTGAAGTTTGATACATATATGATATCCAAGAAACATGATACATAAGCTATCCCTAATGCTTAATTATCAAGTAACTTGGTGGAAATGTTGCCTCCACTTGATCAACATCTAGTTTTCACTCGGCTAACACGTTAGGTGGGACTCCGATCTATCATGATGTCGACATTGCCTTCACTCGATCAATATCCATCTTCCACTCGACTAATACGTTAGGCGGGACCTGAATCTATTGTGATATCAACAGTGCCTCCATTTGATTGACATTTGATTGACATCTTGCTTCCACTCGGCTAACATGTTAGGCGGGACTCGGACCTATCGTGACATCAACATTGCCTCTACTTGATTAGCATCTTGCTTCCACTCGACTAATACGATATCAACATTGCCTCCACTTGATCAATATCTTGCTTTCACTCGGCTAACACGTTAGACAAGACTTGAACCTATCATGATATTGAGACTCGGACCTATCGTGACATCGACATTGTCTCCCCCTAATCAACATGCTGCTTTCACTTGACTAACACGTAATGCGAGACTCGAACCTATCATAACGTCAACATTGCTTCCATTTGATTGACATCATATTTCCACTCAACTAACACATTAGACGGGACTTGAACTTATTATGACACCGATAAGGATGTCAACTCGACACCATAAGGTATGCTACACAGTGTTTATAAAAAAAATAATTCACTAATCCATTACTTTGTAACCCTTAGAGTAATGACATACATAATTGTTCCCAATATTTACCACGGTCTCAACTCAATAACCATCCATTATGTTATAAAAAGGTCCTCGGTTGCATTCTCAAAGTCATATGAATACAATTGTTTAATTTCGACATGTAATAAGTCCTTATTAGCTTAAGCATCGGATAGATTTTGTTGACTCCAAACCCCATCCATGTGTCTCTCGGAAAACCAAAATTTATCGTACCAATATGTAATAGTTCACAACCAATAAACTATTTATAGCTCAAAGTGATAAAAAAAACTTGCATTTGCCTCCAAGTTATATTAATTAGAATACGATAAGCATATCAACGAGGTTCAGTAGACTCGAGATCAGCATCAGAAGAACTCGTAATATAAATGGAGATGAGGAAGGCGATTGCAGATCCAACAATTCCAACAAGTTATCCAATGAAATAAAGAAAAAAGGAAGTTTGATAGATCTGAAACTTAGGCTTCGAATCACACAGCGTGTGTTGTATCAAAGTGTGATTGATATGCATGTACAAGCAGACTGCATCATCTGCAAAAACGGATTCAAGATAGGGGACAAATCCGTTGGTTGGGTTGAATCGAGCAACCCTTTTTTGTTTTGTTATGGCTGGCTCTAAATGCGCGGTCGAGGGTTTGCGCACTCCGCAACAACACTACCAAGTACCTGATGCTGTTCTAACTAATATGGTCGGTGGACGCCATGCACACGGCGGTGGCCCTTTCTTCTGCTTCTTGTTTTCGAACATGTCTGATATGCAATCACAAAAAAGGATCGGTGAAACTTGACTTAATTAATTTTGATTTTCTAATGGATGATGAGGCTGGCTGTTGCATAGTCTGTTTCTAGTGCTGCAAGGCTCTCCTGCAATGGAAGTATGGTCAGCCAGACAGCGGATTGGTTTCTTCATCTCGGTACGGGAAATCATCAAAGAAACACAAAGATCCTTGTTGGAGCTTTAGACACAAGGAACCTAAACAGAGATTTATGGGCGGCAGATAACAAAACGAAGATTTGTTGAAGTAAATTGCTCGAGAAGAAGGAAACAGAGTTATGGAGCTCGGGTGAGAAAGGACGAGAGCTGGTATGCGATCAAAGAGAATGGTTGAAATGGCACGATTCGATCGTGCGGAAGAGTAGGGGGCAGAAGTCGAGTTGCAAGCGCAGTACCTTTTGCTCCGTACTCCAGCACCTCCGGCTCATAATTCTCCACGCTGCTCTCGGGCACTTCGGCGATCACACAAAAGGCATACGGATGAGGAGGAAGCATTCAAGAAACCCTAAAAGTATTGGATAAAACGCATTACGAGGGTATCTCCGTGTTCCAGCTCCTCCGGCTCCTTCTCCTCCTCGCTTCTGTGAGGCGCCTCGTTCTTCTGTCATCGACAGACAATCGGAACAAGACAACCCATGCGAAAGAGGAATTCAAGAACCCGCCTCGAGAACTCGAGGCATGAAGAGGAGGAATTCAAGAAACCGCCTCGTCCTTTGGTTTCGCGGCGACAAGCGAGCGATGGGAGCGAACGAGCAAACCCACGGGAGAGAAGACATCGACAGACCAACTCAAGAAGCAGAGGAGTCAAGAACGGGATGGAGCGCGTTACCTCGTCTCCGTGTTGCTTGCATCTCCTCGCTCCCCTCGGGCTCCTTCTCCTCCTCCTCCTCCGGATTCGCAGGATCGCCAAGGGGGGCGTCGACATCTCTCTCGACCGTGGCACTCTGCTCGCCGCCCTCCTTTATATGGAACGCGGGGCAAAGTGGTCGAGCCAGTAGTAGCACCGACATAATCGACCAAGTACACGCATCTGCACTTTGGCGCCAATCTCGAAGCATCTTAACAACCGCATAGAAAACCGGATCACTGCCAGGGGGTGTCGAGTGCATCTGCACGAATCATAAAGCACTAAAGAAACTGTACAAATTTATGATTTTGAGCTAATTCAAGAGTTTGACCCGTACGACCCAAATCCAGGGTTCGAATTGAAATTACAAACGGTTCCGAGTCCACAACAGGTTGCAGCAGTTCGGATCATTCGTAAGAAGAAGAGCTGGTCGTCTCCATCATCTCCCCGTCGCCCATTAGGCTTTTCCTTGGGTTGGCCTGTATCTCGACGAATGCAGTCCTCCTCCTTTTCAAGTGTTGGTCAAAAGAAGTTTGATAATAAGAAGCATTGTTGATGCTCTCGACCAATAAGCAGCTTAAAGGTAAGGAAGGATTAGCTATATCACAATACTCGGGCATAGAAAAAGATATATCTTTTTTCCTTTTATGAACATGAAGTCATTTTGCCTAATCTCTCCATGAATCAGTAGAAGAACGAGTTACAAATTGCAAGAGTTTGCACAAGGCCGAGCATTATTCGATACTGGTTAGAAAAACAAAAAGTGTTTATGCCAAATGTCCACGTTAATTTATCTAATTTGTAGAAATTTGATTGCTTGCAAGTCTAACTGAAGGCAAAATCATCAACAAATAAGACCACAACAACTACTCACTGATTGAAGTCAATGATGGTCAAATAAGACCACTATGGAGAAAATACCCAGTTAATACAAAAGCCAGGAAAAGTTCAGTCGACAACATAATTCGGCTAACGATTTGAGGTCAGCATGTGAACCAAAAATACCGATGAGCCAACAATTCTGATATCTCAAACAGCCATAAGATTTCCAAAGTTGCGCATTATGAATATAGATCCAGCAAACAGACAGGTGGCACGAAGCAGCTTCTGAAAAAAAAAAAGGGATAAAAAATTGATAAGTGAACACGTTGCAAGCCATAAAAGATGTTTTACTGTTATCACCATAGGCAGTCACAAATTTCATCATCTGACAATGTATCATTTCTCACCCAGATAACGCAAAGTATTTCAGACTAATGACAGCAGTAGATATTAGGAATTTGTCTGATAACAAGTCAACAAAATATTTCATAAAGTTCCACCAGAATAATATGGCTTATCCGGTAGTAAGAGCACATCCATATTTGTTTCCCGAAATGTCAGACTCAATATCCTTCAAACATAGATTAACATCTTTTAGGCTACAGGCCCGCAGCATAGTGTGGAGATAAAGAAGTAAATATGTATGGGATGCATACCTCAGCTCTTGGTTTTTGATAAGTTCTCTAGCTGTTTCTTTTGCAAACATCTAATTATCAATTTAGCTTCAGATTCACTTAGTACTGTCACTTTCCGTACGGTACAAGGGGTTTCCCCTTGTACAAGTTGTTTCTCTAAGTAGCTGTAAATTCATCAAGTAGTTACACCATAAAAGGGTTTTCTTTTTAAACAAATGGGCTTCAGGATTCTAAAGACCATCAAAAAGAATATTTCCAAAAACTAAGAGGCAGAGAATTTGGATCATCAAAGAGATGACATGAAATCAACTTATTTACAAGATAACATCATTTCCTGACTTTATATATGATGCGTGTGACGAGCAGCTGATTACTACCATCAACAACACCAGAGTATTCCAGAGAGCAACTATGACAAAAAGGTTGGCTGGAAAAATTGCACAAAGTCCTCCTGAATTTATCAGGATGCACTAAAATTGATTATTTTCAACATTCCGAAAACATGACAGTATGGGAAAAAGCTAAAAAAAAAAAACTATCATGAGGTAAACACGATACTTTTAGATGTTTGTTTTTTCTTCAATATTGAAAAGTTGAAAAAGCACACTTTCTAGTAAGGATGAACCACAGATCTCTGGTCCATCATCCAACATATGTTACAGTTCAGGTACAACCTCATACGGTAATCGACTGAGCACCTGAAATATGCACCATTTATGATACTTGTACAAATGGATTTCTGAAAATCACTGATTCAAAAAGTACTAGGCGCCAAAAGGCGCAAAGGTCCCAAAACACTCGAGGCGCTAGGCGCTTGCCCGAGCAAAACAAGGTGCTTTGAAATATAAAAATATAAAAATATATAATATAATTAAAATATAATTATTTAAATAAAAATATGATATTATATTAAAATATACTGTTAACAGTATATTACTTACTGTTAATAGTAGTTAGAGGGAGAGAAAAGAACTGTTAAGTGTTAACAGTAATGGAGGGGATAAAAGTGGAAACTGACGGAAAGTGACAACAACAATGGTGAGAAGTTGGCAGCAGCAACGGCAAAGAATTAGTTTAAGACAACTACGGCAGCGCTATGAATGCTGCTTGTGAATGGCAGCAGTGGCAGCAGCGGAAGCTGCGGACAACAGCATCGGCAACAATGGCATCTGTAGCTGCGGACAAGCATCGGCTACTGACGCAATCTCATTCCACTGAAATCACAAAATCACATATCCATGAACATCAAGCATAATCCACCAGCTACAGATTATGACAAAGTCAGAACACATAATACATCGCCTTATTGTCTATAGACAGTATGGTCAATAAGGCCATGAACATCAAGCATAATCCACCAGCTACAGATTATGACAAAGTCAGACCACATAATATGTCTTCATTGATCACAACAATGCTTCGCCCAATTAGAGAAAGATAGGTATGTCAAAGAACTTAGATGTAGATAGCTCGATATTGAGAACTGATCCAGTCCCATTCCACTAAAATCATCAAATCACATATCCATGATCATCAAGCATAATCCACTAGCTACAGAGTATGACAAAATCAGATCACATAATACGTCTTCTTTGATCACAACAATGCTTCACCCAATTCGAGATAGCTAGGTATGTCAAAGAACTAAGATATAGATAGCTCGATATTGAATACTGACCCAATCCCATTCCACTGAAATCATCAAATCACATATCCATGAACATCAAGCATAATCCACCAGCTACAGATTATGACAAAGTCAGAACACATAATACGTCGCCTTATTGTCCATAGACAGTATGGACAATAAGGCCATGAACATCAAGCATAATCCACCAGCTACAGATTATGACAAAGTCAGAACACATAATACGTCTTCTTTGATCACAACAATGCTTCACCCAATTAGAGATAGCTAGTTATGTCAAAGAACTTAGACCTAGACAGCTCGATATTGAATACTAACCCAATCCCATTCCACTAAGGAACTACAAGACCAATCCATATGCCAAAGAAAAGAAGCTCCTCTAATTCACATCTATCCGCAACTACATACCAAATAACAGCATCGAAGAAGGAAAACCATTACAACAGATCTAAGTAACTCCAATTAGAAGTACAAAGAGCCGAAAATTGAAATGCAAGGAAAATAATGTAAACACGACGAGGACAACGATAAAAAGCGAAAAAAAAAAAAAAAGGAAGGGGTTGCGCCGAAATTACCGAGTTGACGGCCCAATTGGCTTCGTCATTGACTTGGGAATTCCAAAAATCCTTAATGTTCTGTAGGGAGACGGAAGGTTTCGCCATCTTGATCGCTCTAGGTTTTACGGCTCCGGTTTCGCGTTAGGTTTGGCGGCTCGTTTACGCACCGACAGACCGGTGCACGCAGACCATTCCACACCAAGGCGAACAATCCCTAAGCACGAAACTGGTGCCTGTTGGCTTTGGGCCTCGAGATTTGGGTTTTGGGCTTTGGGCTTTTCGACTCCTGCAGCTGACGTGTGACTCCCGAAATATAAAGATCACGTACGGCGTACCGTATCAATGTACTTTGGATGTCAAATATTATTTTAGAAGGATATACATAACATCTCAATTTGCAACTGTTTCCCTGTTGACGTCATCTGAGCTTGTGCAACCTTCCAATACATATACAGCCAGATGAGGTTTATTTGTGCTCTCACTCCTCCACAGTAGTTAGCTGTCCCCAAAAGATGCGTGATCAAATTGTGGACTTTATCCACCTATTGACCTTCTAACATGGAAGTTATTGCTGAGCAGCATGGCTATGACTGATTCAAAGCACAGTTTGTGATGTTGGGTCTTTCTTTTCCATGAGACTTTGACTTGTAAGGCAGAAAGGTTGGTGGTTGGTATGACTCGTTCTCTTTAAGGCTGCCCACTCTCTGCCTCTCATCTCTCTTCTAGGGGCTAAGGGGGCATGGGTCTTCCTTTTTCATGAGACTTTGATTCGTCAGACAGAGAGGCCGGTGGTTGGTATGACTCGTTATCTTTTAAGGCTGCCCATTACCTGCCTCCCATCTCTTTTCTAGGGGCTAAGGGGGCATATGATAGAGTGTATGTGAGTAGTGCATCTGAGTAGCATCTCAGTAATTGAGATATTAAGGTTTTTCTCTCAATCTTTCTCTCCCCTAATCTCCTAATCCATCAATCTAGGTGGTCCTGTGAAAAGATAGGAAGAGAGGAGAATGATCTAGTTCTCAGATCCTTGCAGATTGATATTTCAGATCCGAAGATGAAGCGCTTGTAGATCAGATAAGGTTTATTCTTCTGAAAAACAAGAAAGGTACGCATCATAATATTGTTAGATCTAGTTTATTTAATTTCAATCTTGGCATAAAAGTTTTTCTGCATTACAGATAGCATGATTACAGATTTTATACTAATAATTGGTATCCGAGCCAAGTTCTTGAGATCAAATATATTAGATCTATTATTATTCTTTACGATGCCTAAATGATTCGTTGGATATTATTGATATGTTTTCTTTTTATATGATTTGATCTACTACTGTTTATGAGCCATGTATAATTTTATGTTTGATCGATGAATTTACTGTTTACTATCATCGATGTTATTGAGATGATCATCTCTGTTGATCGTTGTCGACGATGGGCCGTGTGCCACCCCGTAGCCGCGCATCACGGTCGTGCACAGGCAGAGGTTCGCTTGCGAGCGGTGGCGGCACCACGGGCATCCCACACCGCCTGTGAACGTCGTGCTCGCGGAAGGCAGCGGCTATAGCCCATGTGAAGGCAGCTGCTGCCCTCACGTATAGTGGTGGTGCCCGCAGAAGGCGCTTGCGGAAGGGCGGTGGCCGCAAATGGCGGCAGCCGCTGCCCCCGTGGAAAGTGGGCAGCGGCAGCGGCCACGCCAAGGCGGCGGCCAAGCGCGGGCAGGAACCACGGCAGTTGCGCATAGGTAGTGGCAGCGGTCGCGCGTGGGCACAGGCAGCGTCGCGGCATGGCAACCGCGCACCGGCGGTGGCCGCGCGTGGGTAGGCCGTGCACAGGCGACGACCACGCGTGGGCAGGAACCATCGCAGTGGTCGCTCGTGGGCAGAGGCAACCCCTGCGGCGGCAGCGGTCGCGCGCTGGCAACAACCGCGGACAGTCGTGCGCGCCGTCCGCAGGCAGGAAAGCGTTGCAACGGCCGCGCGCGAGCAGTGCCACGCGACAGCAAGACATATCAGGGTTTTGGCATAATTACGGTTTTGACCTCGAGGCTATGGTTTTACAAAATTACAATTCTACCCTTTGCAAAATTTGTAATTCCAGTTTATGTTCTATCAACATATTTACAGTTTTACCCTCGGGTCTAATTTTGCCAAATTACAGTTCTGCCCTTCGTGAATTTCTTAATTTCAGTTTATATCCAATCATATATTTATAATTTTATTCTTATGAAATTGAGAATTTTAAGTTATATTCTCAATTATAAAATTGATAAATATGATTTATTATAATTATGATTGAATTTAATCATGATTATATTTTGGTTATTTGATTGGATTTAATTTTTGATTTAAAAAAATTATAAATTATGGTTTACTTTATAGTTTTCTCATATGAATTATTGATTATACATGTGATAAATAAAATTCAATTATTGTTCTTGGATATTTATTTAGTTATTCATATGTATATATTTGAAATTATGAAATTATGTTTACCTTTCATATGAAGGCAATGAAGACATGATTTATATGTTATAATGATTATCATATGAGTTTTCTTTTCCTAATTAAAGTTCAATAATTATTATGATTATTCTATTATTGAACTGCTTAGCATTAATATTCAATAATTATTATGGTTATTCTGTTATTGAATTGCTTAGCATCAATGTTTAATAATTATTATGGTTATTTTATTATTGAAACTGCTTAGCATTAATGTTTAATAATTTTTATGGTTATTTTATTATTAAAGCTGCTTAGCATTAATGTTCAATAATTATTATGATTATTATTCTATTATTGAACTGCTTAACATAAATTAAAAAAATTTGATGAATATTATTTGTAATTCATTTCCTTAAGTTTTATCTGACTTATAGCTGCCAAAATGGCCTTGGATGATAAACTTTTGTGATGTGAATTATAATAAATGTCTTATCATTTATAGGACATTTTAGATTGTAATTTATATTTTTGTATTGGTCTTGCAGCCACCAAAGTGACCTGGACTGATAATTTATAAATTAAATTATGAAATTAGTCCTAAATGATATTAAATAAAAATAATATTCATAATGACAGTATGAATCAGGATAAAAAAATTTAGTGAATATTATTTGTAATTTATCTTCCTAAGTTTTATCTGATCGGTAGCTACCAAAGTAGCCTGGGATGATAGACTTATGAGATATGAATTACAATAAAGTTCATGTCATTCATGAGATATTCTAGACTGTATTTTATCTTTTTATATTGGTCATGTAGCCACCAAAGTGACTTGGACTAATAATCTATAAAACACATTATGGAATTCATCCTAAATGACATTAAATAAAATAATATTCACGATGCCATATATAATTATGAGATTTAGATAATCCCAAAGGAGAATATATTTCAAATAATTATGTGATGGGGTAGGATGATACTGTTTTGGATATTCTTGCAGTTTAGGGTTGTATACCCAAAGGTAACAACACTATTCCACAAGAATGATATCAGTCCTCCATAAGTGATTTTGAGTGAACACTAGATATGTCAATATTTCACCTGAAGGTGAAATATTGATGATATCAATAGTTCATCATATTTTGGAAATTCAAAGCATTAATGTTATATTATTACTGTGGCACTTCCTTTATTGTGTTTCTGTAAATGTCCCTATACTTTCTGAAATAAATGGCTTGAGCATATACAAGTTGTATTGAGTAAGTGAGACCTTGATCATATTAATTGAACAGAACACAAACTTAATTATTGAAAGTTCTGTGAAATAAATAATTGAGATGATTGATCAAGAAAGGTACGAAAGACTCAATTTTAAATTTTATGATACTTAGACTTCAGTACAGTTTACAACTAGCGCATAAAAATATCTAAGGATCAATTTAAATTATCTGATAAGTCATTAGTTGACACTTTACTATGATAGTATTTGAGGAATTTAAGATTATATCCTCAAAATAAATGATAAAGCTGTAAGCTCAAGACTCATAATATTTTGAGTACTACTCAAGGAGTAGGTAACACTAAAATAAGGATGAAGCGTAATTCCACTTGAGTTTATAATTATTATATAAACTCATAAAAGAATATCTTCATAATAAAGTGTTACTTTTGTAGCAAATAAAGTTATGTGAAGAAGAAATATACTATAAGATTTGATTTGAAATGAAAAAGGTATAATTATAACCTTGTATGGTTCAAATCAAATATTATAGATATTATTGATGGATTAATTTAATTCTTCATCATATGTTACTAATAATAGATATTTTTTATTAAAATAAGAAAAAAAAATAAGAGGGATAAAACGAAAAGAAAATAAGATATTTATTAATGTAGGGAATCATCTTAAAGTGAAAGCGATATTAGTTTGTATTTATCTCTTATATCTATAGATGATTCAATTTGATAAATCTTGAGGATCCATGCTTCTTATAATTCTGGGAATTTGAGTTCTTTACCTAGAATTATTAAAATATTATTTTTCTTTTGGTGGTTATAAACTTATTGTGATTCAATAGAATTAACCTTTGAATTTTGTATAATAGTCTATGCAGAATTAATATGAATCATAAGTTTACAATGATCCTATAATTAAATATTGAAGTGAAATATAGTTTTATAAATTCCTTGAGGTTATGTTTATCACTCTATGCTTTTGTCTCATTAAAGAGAGACATTTTATCATCATATAAATAATATGTTGAGATATGATTATATATATCTAATTCATGTAAAGTCTATGATCGTTTACACTTTTGAAGTGTATATAAATGAAGTTGATAGACAATTAGATAGAAAAGTCAAAATCATTATATCTGACAAAGGTGATAAATTTTATGGTATTTATGATGAACCCAATTCTTTTGCTAGATTCTTAGAAAAATAAGGTATATGATTTACTGTTACAGCAAAATATGATTGCTAAAAGATGTCATCGTACCTTATAGATATGGTTAAGAGCTACAACTATGTATATTTGAATGGTGTTCCTAGTAAGTAAATTACATGACTTTTTTTTTTTTAAGTTATGAAATGATAGGAAACATGACTTAAGATATTTACATATTTTAAACTTATCTCGATAAGGATCTTGAACTCATATAAAAGAAAATTAGATTTAATAATTATTTCTGAATATTTTATTATCTATTCAGAAAAGTTTAAAAGGGGTACATATCTTTTTGCTCTAATCATACTACGAGAACAATTAAATTTGGTAACATAAGATTCCTATAAAATAGCAAATCAGTGGGAGTGAAAATCTCGAAATTTAATTTTGATATAGAGGAGATACAAGTTAATACTCCTTTATTATTCGAGAGATTGTTCTTACTCAAATCATTAAATGATTTGATGAAAGTAAACAACAAAATAACATTACTAAACTCTCACATTATATTGATATCGTTAATGGTCTTGTAGAGCAACTATAATTGATAACTTTGATAATATCTCAAAGGGGAAGGAATCATGTCATTTATGGTTATTATGTTGTATATCTATAAGAATTATATTATGATATAGGAATCAGAATGGATCCCTTATTTTTGTCACGGGTCATGAAAAGTAATGATTCTGAAAAGTAATATGATGCAATAAAAGAAGAGTTAAAATTAATAACTAGAATGGTGTTTGATAAATTTATCGAATTGTCCAATAATTGTAAAAGAGTCTATTATATAAATGTGGCTCAAAGGACAATGTCGATATAATAGTCAGACTTGTGGTTAAAAATTTTACTCTTAAGGAATGTATCGATCATAATGAGATTTTTAATGACATTAATGATTCATTATGAGTTTAAGTTATATCATAATGATATGAAAATATTTTTTAAAAGATATAGCTTTATATGGGTTACTCTAAATGATTTATAAAGAAAATGAAAGAAATATAAAGTGTGGTATGCAAATTCAGGAATCCATTTATGACCTTAAACAAGCTTCAAGGCAATGATATATAAAGGTTCTTGATATCATTATTTCAAATTTAAGATAAATACTATTAATCAGTATTTATATCAGTGGGAGCAAGTTTATTATATTGGTATTATATATGGATAATATTTTGCCTTACCAATAGTGATCTTGATTTACTATACTAAATCAAAAAATTTGTCACTAAAAGTTTTAATATGGTTGATATGAATGAGACATCTTATATTATTAACATTGAGTAATTCAAGGATAGACCTCAATGATTATTAAGATTGTCTTAGAAAGGATATATCAATCGAGTCTTGAAATGATTTTAATATACAGCTTTGTTTAGTCAATCATAAAAAGTAAAGTTTTAGGCAATAGTAAATGCTTGAAAATGACTTGAAAAGAATCAGATAATGAAGATATTCTTTGTATATGCGTAGTTGGAAGTCTATGCTCAAGTCTGTGTTAGAAAATATATCAGTTTTTATAATTAAAATATTAGGTATATATTGAAATCACCTAGAAGTAAAAATATTAAAGGACTACAGAGAAAGTAATAAGATATCCGGAAGGGACAAAAGATTATATACTCACATGTATGAAATTATATCAGCTTGAAATAATGATATTTTTAAGATGCTGATTATATAAATTACCTCGATAATAGGAAGTCCATCTTACAGTTAATATCTATGTAATTAGAGAGGTAATTTATTATTATTATTAATAAAAGTTGATTTTGTGGCATGCTTTGAGGCCACTAATCAATTTTTTTATTGCAAAATTTTTATTTCAGGACTTAGTATAGTCAAACTCAATTACCAAGTCGTTGAAGATATTTTATGACATTGCATTAGTTTTCTTTTCTAAGAATGACAACTACTATTGCATCTATATGCATTATGGTATAAAGTACTTGATGGTTAGAGAAGATGAGTCCAGAAACATCTAATGTC